TACTGAAAGAAAAATAAAAAAGTACATAAAGAATGATAAGAAAACGGTAAGAATTGCACGATAAGAAAAAACTGCACATGCGAATTTTCGAAACGGGAACACAAGAGTCACCTGTAACACTTTAACGTATGAAAATGCAGGATAGAGCTGCATGTGGTATGTATGTTTGAAAGTAATATCTTGACTTAAAGAATATAACTAAAGTGAAATTTTTATCATGCATTAAAGGCACCATTTAAAACATTTTAAGCAATGAAAAATTATTGGAGCTGAAAAAAAGGCCTCAGCGGTTGATGTTTGCATGCAAATTAGATTAGTTGGAAGTGCAATATCTAAGTTTAGTTGATCGCTTCAAACCACTGGAATGTGAGATCACACTGTTACCTGTCAAACTCTTTTGGGGAAAATGAACAAAAATTTCAGTTTGTGACAACAAAATGTACCTGGCGCGTTTCAGTGGGTCAATTTCTGAGTTACATTCATTCCACAAAGAAACATGGATAACCCTGTAACGATATTGCAAGATATTTATGCAGCTCATTTGTCCAATAATGTATAATCTGTTTTCCTCTATCTAGACTTTAGCCGGTGGCCTTTGTTCCATCCGTGGATAACCTTACAACTTGGGTACTTCAAAATGTTTGTAAGATGAAATGGTAGAGCTATTTGCCTAAAAATGTATAATCTATTTTCTTTTATCTAGAGCTCGACATAGTGCATCTTTTTAGTGGAGTCATGCATACACAAATTTGATAAGCCGGCTATGAGCCAGTGTAATCTTTGATGTAGCAGTGAGTCTGTCCTCAGATTGTAAACATCGGTTATCTGTCGTAAAACAGGAATAAACTAGAATCGCCAGAATGTTCAGGGAAATTAAAAAACAAATATGGCGATACTGGGACCTTAGTGTTAGGAAGCAGTAGAGCTGTAAACGGCGAACAACGTAGAAACGGAAAACTCAAGCATTGTTTGTTTGTTTGTGTCCGTGGTGTGGTAAGCGAAACATTTTCACAGTGCAGAAGCAGAGTAGATTTTGGAAGCCGAGAATAATAATCTCGTCAACTCCATTGATAACGTATGAGGCGCTCTAGGTATAATAGTGCTAAAATGGATTTTATTGAAAATCTTAGAACTTCGTCCGTCACCGAAGAATAAGTAGACCAATTTGGCTCGGAAAAGCTAGATCACTTAAGGTTAAGCATATCACGATGTTATGAAAGTTGAATCGCAGTTTCAGAAGAACATATTCCACGTTAACTTGACCCTCCCTCTGGCTATTTATAAGCAATATATACATCCATCTACGTCATTCGGAAATTTGCAATTTTTTCAAAATGTACTATCAAATTTAATTTGTGCATAATTTCTTAGCAGTTTTTTAAAAAAATGCATTAGTATGCTTGCAGTATATTTATTTTCATACTTGGCTGAAATTATTAATGCAGAGGTAGCCGAAGTTGTTAAGAAGGTAGTACATGCTTTGGTTTTGGATACCAGTGTAGTTAAAATATGTTCTGATTCCTCAATCACTATATACTATACGTACCGTAAATCTAATCGTTTTATATGTTAAATAAATTGAAATTATGGTAAATTATTAAAATTATGGGTAATTAATGAATAAATCTTTTCTCTCTCTCTCTCTGTCTTTCTCTCCTTATAGTACAATTTTTACAAAACTATTCTGCACCAGACTGAAGAGGAAAACGCATATTATATTTATTCGCCATGATCGCTGGTGCTAATTTCCATACCAATTCTACTCTACGCACTGGAGTTGTATTTAACATATCTAAAACGATTTCTAGTATTTGAAACATGTTGCACCAAGGGAAAAACACAAGCGAGCTTAGTCGAAAACTGCTAAAATTATAATCGAAGCTTGGCTAATTTGGAAGGTAATTTTTTTGAAGCGAAAAACAGGAAAAAAATTCTTCCGAACGACGTTGAAAAAATTTTGAAATCCATTAGAAGGATTTGCAAACCAGCTGAAAGCACAAAAGTGAGAATTATTTATTTATTATTACAATACATTTTACATCTTTAGTTTTTCTTCTTTTTTTCATTCCATTTTCTGCGGAAATCTCTCTTTATTTGTAATAATTGCATCTAACTTAAGTAGGTTTGAAAAAATATTTTTTTCACGTCTGTGTAGAAGACAGTGCAGGTTGCTAACGGTACTTTGTTTAAAGATAATAAATTTGTGTAACAAGTATTATAACTTAACGTAATCGCTCATTTATTTAGATTGCAAGCTATATATCTGTCAACTGTCACGCTGTGACACGTTATTAAGTTAAATGATATGAATACATGGATAGCATGCTTCTTGACTTGCAACGCATTATTTTGCACTGCAGGCCGATACGTATGTCATGTACATTCGATTGAATTAATTTTAGCTTCCAAAAAAGTTTTTGTTATACTTTTCTACATTTTGAATTAAAATGAATAAAAAATTGAAAGCATGTAAATCATTTAATAAAAAAATTTAATATTAAATGGCTTCCAAAGAACAGTAAGCGTTTCGATTAAATGGAGTACCAGATAACTGGCGTTCTACTTTAATTCATTTTTAAATGTGTAAATGTACGCATTAACGTGCATAAAATGAAAGCCAAATTGAGGAAGAGGGCGTTTGAATTCAAATCTGTTCTGATTAATCCCCAAATAAATAAAACTACGAGGTGGAAAACTATCTTGCTCTTTAATAAGAATGCAGTAATTCCTTTCAACCATCTTAAATAGTTGAATTTTATCGCAACCTAGTAAAGCTTCTCCTTTCAAAAAAATTGTATTTGGGTTGCAAGGTTCTTAGTAGGCCAAAAATGTTTCTATGATCACAGTTGTGAAATCGGACACAGAATTTCATTTTAAAAACAACTTGCGCAAATGAGTACTGGGGAATGTAGAATTATTTCATCACAATTCTTTGACACACAATTCTTTGACTCGAAAGCACCTTGACATTAAAAACTTGCTGTGCTTGTGTGTATCAAATATTACGGTACTATAAAATGCTTAATTATCTTTCTTCGATCAACATTTTTTCCTTCATGTTTTCATATTATATTGATTATCTGAGAATTTTTGTTATGCGATCAACTGGAAATTTGTAAATTTAAAATTTATAAAAAATTTTCTTCAGGAAAATGTGCATAATTTATATTAAAAGATTTGTTAGGGAATGCATGAGGCTTAGTAATTTGGTTTCGTTTTATCTGAGCGTTCCTTCGATGTGTTGTAATTAATATATTCTTTCAGCTTTTTAAAACAGCGGTATCTTGTTTTGAATATATTAGTAACAAACTGGAATATCAAATTGATTTTGTGTTTCGACTTACTGTTTTGTGTTTGTGAAAGGATTTTGTGCTTATGAAGCTGTAATAAATGGGAATGTTAAATGGTAATCAAATAAACAGGCTTTTACAGCCATTAAAATAAGTCCAATTAACTCCAGGTGAACCAAAATACAAAAGAACTGCAGATGTCTAGAATTCCGTTATCAACTGCTCTATTTGGATCAAGTGAAGCTAAAGTTGTAATTGATTAGTTAACATATTTTCAATTTTTATGCCCATTTAAATAATTTATAAGTGTTTTATTTTACTCAAATTAGCGTCATTCACGTATTATTTTATATCATTTAAAAGTTTTTTATCTTTTAAGTTTAGATGAATCGAGATAAGTTACTTGTTTTGCTCTATTCAAATAAAAAATAGTTTGGTCTTTTTGTTTAGTACTAAAGAAATAAAAGCGGGGTTATTGCACACATAAAATTTTATTTATTTTGTTTTTATTTTTGCAAATCTTAAGGTCTGCATAAATAAAAACAAATTTGCGCTAAACAATGTGTTATATAAATAAAAAAAACAATAATTTGTTTCTTTAATTTTGTTAAAAATAGATTCCATTGTACTTTTTGTGGAAATAAAAATATACTTTTACATACATAATCTTTGTTAAAATAGAATGCTGTAAGCTAAAATATTGAAGTATTTTCCTCTAATTACAGTTAATAGCTCATTTTATGCATATTGTTCAATTAATTGGATGAATTGGTTTGGTTTTGGATATTAGAACCATAAAAGTAACTTAAACTTTCCATGAAAGAGACTACTGTTTGATGACGATATGGGAGCAAAAATTTGTTAAATTTTAGCAGCTATAATTGCAGATAAATTTATTGTATACGTATATGTATGTGAATATTTGCGGACTGTAGTAAGCATTCGAAATCCCTTTCCAGTATTCCTTCATGAGAAAATACTATATTATAATATTAAAGCTACTTTATCAGTTTATCTGTATTCAACTTTTTTAAATGCTGTTCAATATTTGAAGCTGAATAAAACAAAATTTGATTTCTGTTTTGTTTTATTCAGCTTCAAATATTTAAGCTATTTCTTTAATACAGTCGGGACTGGTATTAACATTCTGAAAGATTAATTTTGTTCAAATTAGGTAGCAAGCTGCCGCCCAGACGGTATAGGGGTTAGGGAAGTCTGACTGCGATACCAAAGGGTCCGGCTTCGAATCACGGAGAAGGCATGGATATAAAATTGTCTGTCCCTTTATAGGAGGTAAATGGTGGCCGCCTATTAGGTGCTTCCACAATAAAATGGCCACCATTTCTGGTCAGATGTGGCCACTGACGTTATAGACAAGTGCCCGCCGTTAGAAAAAAAAAAAGATAGCAAGCTTAAGCAAAGGTTATCACATTTTTTTTGCAACAGATTGTTTCTGCTATAGTTGCTTATGTGAAACTAAATTGATAAACTTTATTTATAATTCAGAGATCTAGTGCGCGATTACCTTTCGAGAGTTCATCATTTGAAACTAATTATGTCACAAAGAAGGGGGGAACGTGGCTTGATTTGTTTCTGTTTATCTATTTCGAAAAATGCACTCAGGTTCTTATCTCGCTTCTAAGTTCGAATTGTAGAGACCTCATTTCATTTTCCTCCTATCCTGCGGGTAGGAAACACAGAGCATTCCAAAGAGGACATGACCTTCTCCCAGCAGAACGGTATCTTATTAGACGAAAGATCTTGCAACAAATTTTAGTATTCTGCTCATATGTTGGGGGGCTCTGACCCATGTGCTTCCTCCCTTTGAGCCGCGGGGTGTACGTGGTACTTATCTGCGCTAGGAGAGATTATACTTATTAGGTTGTTTAGGTAATAATGGCTGACTTTCAACTCCACTGGAGGAGAATTGGTAATGTATCTTACAAGTAATAATGGCTTACTTCTGCAGACTTTAATTCTATTCAAAATGTTTAAACCAAATTAAAAACCTATTTTATTTCAGTTCGTATAATAAAGTAAATTAGTGAAATTTATTTTGAATAGACATAGACATAGAATAGCCGCTGCTAGTATGAAAGTCCTCAATTTCCATCACCGTAAGTGTGCCTGAAGCCCTTGATGCAGCATCGCCCTGTTTTAGCCTTTTCATGTACTTCTTTAACATTTGAAACTGTTATGAGATATTTACATGATCTGTCAGACATATGAATTCTGTTAAAAAAAAAAAGCAAGATTTCCCAATTGTTATCTGAAGATCTTTCACAAAGAAAAATTATACATTAAAAAAAATTTTTTTTCATAATAAACTGAACAAAAAATATTGGCATGGCAAATAAAATTGGAGGAAATTATTACAGCAGAAATTTTATGAACATTCCAGTGAATAATTTTAGATAAATTTAATATATCTTCAATTTGTGATTGTTTTCAATTTCATTATTATTGAACGTTTGGTGCAACTATATCTGTTTCCCACTTCCCTTCACTCTGAGGAAGAGAGTGAGGGAATCTTTTATGCAGATAGCTGAAAACATTTCCCAGAGGCCAAATGTACCGAAAATATTAAAATAAGAAATTATGAACGTTATGAGTTTGAAAACCACTATGTTGTAATTTGTAATACTTATGCAAAATTGTTAAGGTAAGTATTTCTTTTGCAACTGCAAGTAACTGAGATGCCTTGAGGTGTTTAATCTGTATCGCTGTGAATGCTGTTTGATTCCTGTAATCAAAAAGTGCGTTTTGAATTAATAAGGTTAAAATTCTACTTCTTTAAAACTGAACTAAACTTTAGTATGCTTTTCTGCTGCTTGGAAAAATACTTTAAAGTTAATAGGATATTTTAAAAAGTTTTCAGTTGAAGTATTAAATTTTTATATTGTTAATTTCTACTTAATCGTAATTTTCAGTCAGAGCAAAAACTTAGCTGGGCTAAAACTAATTATCTTAATTAAAGATGCATTAAATTTGAATGCGCTTCTTCTGTTACGGCAAGAAATTTCATAATATGAATATTTTAACATGTTGTTTAGTGAAGTTTTAATTTTTTTCAATGTTAATTCTCAGTTTAAAATTTTCATTCGTGAATTATTATAGCTCATTAAGAAAACCTTGATTCTAATAATCTCTTATAAAAATTCTAATGCTCTTTAGAATAAAATTTATTTGTATGAATTTAAGGAATAATTATTCATCGTCGTTTCAGTGATTTCCTTTTCAATTTTAAACATATGTTTTATATTTATTGTTAGCTGAAATTATGCTTCTCATTAATTAATTTCGTTAATCAAGAGAATGTGTGAAAAGCTGTTTAAAAGTAATTTTTTTTAACTTACGCCTGTCATCAGCGTTTATTTCTAAAATTTGTTTAATTATAAGTACGTTAGGCAAAAACGAAAACCAACATTTTCAGGTGTATAAACAGTCATTCACATCAGAATTGTTAAAAATGAATTCCCTCGCTAATTTTAAGAACTGCTGTATCTTAATATAATTAAATGATGACTAAATATATTTTTATAATATGTATTTTAAGAAGGTACTCTGATACATTTTCGTAATTAAACAAAGAGGAAACCTAACATACATTTGTTTCGAAATGTTTCTAGTTTCTGTAATTTTAAATTAAAATATTTTTTCTAATGAAAGAATAAATGTATTGTACAATTCTGAATTTGATCCTTTATTCTTCATTTTTTGTTACAGTGTTTCGATGCAAAAAAGATTCCACTGGATGGAAAAAGCAATATTGTTTTCTCAGAGTATATGAATATCACCCATGATATAGCTTTCGCTGCAAGCCTTATGTCACATGTCATTAAAGGTATTTATCTAATGTTAGTTCATTATTTATCTAAGAAACCTTCTATTTTGAACTAGGAAACGAACTTGCTTATGATAAGCTTAGAAGTAAAAAGAGCTTTTATGAGCAAAATGCCATAATGATTTCACTTGAAATTAATTATTTAATTACATATTAAAGACTTATTTAATGAAAGAAAAATATTATGCGTGAAATTATTTTAATCATTAATAAAATTGCATCCTTTGGTTACAATTGTTCAAATCGTATAGGATTATCATCGTGGAAAAATTATTCGGTCCTTCAGTGATCTTTATAACAAAGCTTGATTGTGACTGCTGCTGCAGAATGACTTTTGCCGTGAATTCATTTAAGCTTCTTTTATCAGCAAAGAATTTTATATTTTTAATAGAATATTTTATTGCTTAACTTGAATTAAAATCAAATTGTTCTACTATTTCTTTGTAGTATAAACGGTTTCACAATGAACTTATGATTTAATTTCATACTGGAAACAGCTTCCGGTAATTTCATATTACATTGCATCAGGCTTCCGATAATTTAACATTCCGGAACATAAACTGCGTAGAGTAATTTCATACTCTTCATAACTACACCAAAGAAGAGTTAGATGCAGATTTTGGGGCATATTTGGGCTTTATGGAGAAGAATCAAAGTAGTGGCTCTGAGCTATTTTTGCCCTACACACCCCTTTCACCACTGCTACAAAATCATCCACCCCTCTCTCCTTTCTCAAACTTAAAAAATACTCATACACGTTTGTTTTAGATTTAGGTTATTTTAAAACTTTTTTTATAAATTAAACAGCAAAAAGTATAGAAAATGTTAGTAAATATTAAAACATTAACAGGAATTGATTTTTATATTCATAAACTAAAATTAAAATCTTAACATAAAAGGCTGGTCATATCCCCCCTTGAAATTATGAAATTCCTCCCTGATTGAGAACCCCTGATTTTGAAAAATTAATGCAACATTCTAGATAAAATGATATAATTACACCTTTGTGTAAGTATATCATTACATTTGCTTAGCTTTATTTATTTTTTTTGTAACCTTGTATTTTACATTTGTTTAGCTTTATTTCATTCTAAATGGAAAAGTATGTGAGACATTTTTAATTAATCATAGGGAAATAAATACATTTCATATTTTACACGAAACAGAGAAAAGATGCATAATTTTTTTTCATTATTAGACCCACGAGTGGCAGAATAGTTTTTAAGAGCACTGAATACTCATAATTCCACAGGAATTCAAATCCCAGGATATGTGCTAGTTGTATAGGTTATTTTCTCCATATGTAGTATAAATACAGCAAGTTTTTGTAGAAAGTCCTCCATGAAGGCATTCCCCTTCTTAGATAAACTCCTTGTTCTCTGCTACATTCAAATAGATAGATTGGTAAAATTATGGAGGACATCTAATATGTATAAACAATAAGCAAATATAATTCCCATATATATATATATATTCTATAGGACAAAACCCTAATTGATGAATCACATTTCCATTGTGTTACTTAATACCGCATTACTGTGTTATTACTTTTGGATTCTATATCTAGAAATACGTTACTGCATATTTGTAACTAAATTTTCGTAGCGATTGTCCCATGCTCTTCATCTGTTATGCTTGTTTGCCTTATGCACATTTTCCATTCATAGCAACATTTTGTAGTTATTACACTTATTGTTTAGCTGTAATCAAATAACCAAACTTATCATATTTGTTGCAAAATACTGCTGAAATACATTATTAATCCATACGGAAAATTCTTGCTGTTTTGCTTTTCAATGCGAGAAATTTTGCAAATGCCTCAGTCGTGCAACTTTAAATGTCAAACTGACCTTTATAAAGCTGTACCAACTGATTTCTAAATGCTATGATATGTACGTCAAGTCCACATTCTTTGTTAATTATTCACTGTAAACTATTATTACAGCGTTAAAGCTCAACAGGATCAGTTTGTAAAACAGCTTCAAATAACTTTCTTTAAAACTGGACAAAATATAGTTTTAAATCTAATGTCGAAAAACTAGAAATGTTCGATAATCTCAGAATAATTTTAAATCCTTTCATTAGTTAATTGCACTTTACAAAAGTAGGAAATATGCACTAAATCAAGGTAGTAAAAATGCTGAATATTTTACTTCAGTTATGAAAAGGGCTTCGAAGTAATAACGTGAAAAATTTATTTAGAAAGAACTTCTTCGAGTCACTTTAGGCCTACAGTGCCAGCAAGTTTTAGCTATAACTGTACCCCGTTATTGCAAGTTTAAGTGCAATACTATGACCATTTACTCCTCTAAACCAGGAGCCAATGATAGTACTTCAAAAAATCCTGATCGAAATATGCTTTAACATTCTTGACGTTTTTCGAAAAATTTCACATTTCTTTTGAAATATAGATTCATAATATCCGCAGTATCCACAAGCTAACCCCAAAATAAAAGACCCTTTAATGTGTAATAAAAATTCAAGGAAAACTATGATAAATTTGGCTATTCACTTGAAAAGCAGGAAGAGAAGGAAAAACTGTGATGATCTAAATTACTTCTTATTAAAAATAATGTTACTAAAATAATTTCAATTAAGGTTATAAGGTATTTCTCCCGCTTTCCTAGCGTGCCTTCGTGGTGTAGTGGTCAGTACACTGAGCCGGTATTTCAGAGGTCCGTGGTTCGATTCCCGGCGAAGGCGGCTGCTAATTTTTCATCTCTCTGGCTTCCAAAAATCCTAATGACTCTATAGCGGCGCCCGAACTAAAAAGGGTCGTGAATGATGATTCTTCACACCCCGGATTTGGCGATTGGGTCCCCTAAAAACCCCAGTCGCCCTTTAAAAGTAGGAACACTTTAAAAGCCCTTTAAAAGTAGGGAGTATATAAGATATTTCTCCCGCCTGTCTAGGTTGCCTTCGTGGTGTAGTGGTCAGTACACTGAGCCTGTATTTCAGAGATCCGTGGTTCCATTCCCGGCGGAGGCGGCTGCTAATTTTTTGTCTCTCTGCCTTCCAAAAAATCCTAATGACTCTACAAGGTATTAAAGCAAAATAATAACAAAAATTGTTCTATGCCTAATTATTATGATTTACTTTTGCAAATTAATCTCAGTTTTCTGCTCTTAAAATCTGAATGTTATGCTTTTAATAATAAAAAAATGTTTATTTCATTTTCAAGAAATGTTCTAACTTCAACCTCAATTTTTAGGATTTTCTGAACTATCAAGTGACTTGCAAGAAAATGACAAATATAATTTTACCGACCGTAAACAGATAAATCATCAGCATTCTTTTCTGATGCCAACTTTATTTATTGAGCATTTAAGTTTAGAATCTCGGGTAAGTTGTAGAAGAATTTCATAAAATTATAATATGGAGTAGGACTTTTAAAACGAAAAGTTGCATCATAATTATGTATGCTGAATACTTCAAAATATTTGAACTGCTGCAAATAATAATAGTTGGAACTGTTTTATAGATTCTAAACTGTGTTTAAAAATGTTTCAAGAATAGATCTTAATTTATTTCTAATACTGTGCAGGATATATTAATTAGGTATGAACTTAAAAGTTACAAAAAATTTAAGTTGTATCTCTCATGTAATGCAACAAGCCTATTTGAGATTTTTTCATTTAAGTAATTTTTTCATGGAATTATCTGAAGTTTTCATTTCAACTGGCACCCTAAATTCTCATCCTCTGTAGACTTATACTACTCTACCGTATATATTTGGTAACCTTTGCTTATAACTACTTTGATATTCATTGTCAGACAGAGCTCTTATAATTAATAGAACCAGAAGCTGGCAATGTAGGCTTAAAGTTCTGGAAGCGGCGTACTATAGATCCTTTATATTAAATTATATTTCCCCCCAACCCCGTACTGCATGATGTATAAAGAAGTCTTCTAAGTAGAAAAGTCTTTTAATTAGGAAACCTTTGAACGACTTAGAGCTGGCCCATGGTAGACTGTTGTTGTTAAAGGAGAACGGGGACACCCTCTATAAGCCATAGGTTCTACCGCAATGCCTATTTTGCCCCAAGTCCTCCACTGTCGAGTGGGAGAGAGCGCAGTAGGGAGGCAAGTGTCCGCAGTAGGCGAGCCCATGATGGACTAAAATTTAAGTAAGATTTAAGAAACTCTGATCACTGGAGGAATCATTGTGGCAGGATACTACTCCGCAAATGCCCAGGATGTTATTCTGCGTCCGGGACCTATTCAGTACCGAGATCATTAAAACTGAACCTGAATTAGTAGACCCTTCAGCCGGTAGGAGGGACCCACAGACAATGCAATAAGCAGACAAATTCCGCCTCTAAAATAGAAGAGAAAAATGCGAGAGTGCACCTAAGTTGAAACATTAATGCTTGCTTACATAAATATATCACTTTTGTAATAATGTTATTAGGAAACTCCGACCCACTTTTCAAACAGCGATGGAATTTCTACAGGAAATTAATTTCGACCTTTCAAAATTCAACATGAACCTTTATCGCACATTGTGTGAAACAATTCCTACTACTTATGACGTAATTCAAATGTGTGCCTCAACATTCGTAGCAAATTTATTTGTTAAAATGTTAAAGAAATTTCAAAATATAAATTTATAGTAAACAAAAAAAAAATTAAGCATGAAAAATGCTACCGATAAGAAGTAACGGGAATAAAAATGTATACGCAGTTTAAAGTTTCCGTTCCCGTATTTTAAACCGAAGCTTGCAAAACAATACCTGATACAAATAAAATTTTGTACTTGGAAACAAACATTTTACTTGCCCTGTATCGCATATTGAGATTTAATTTCGTTTGTAAGATTTGCAGGTTTTCAAATGCTAACGTGTTACGTATGTAATCAGTCACTGGTATTGACATAAAACTTTTCATTAAATTATAATTGTTGAGAAACTGTAGTTCTCTCGCGAGTGGGCTCGCTGCATGGGAGTTTTCGTGATTGTTCCCATGTGTAAGGTGTATACGAGCCAATTTCCCTTAGAAAGTCTTCCACGAAGGCATTCCTCCCTTTAATGAAATATCCCTCGAGTGCTTTGTCATAATTAAATCAACAAACAAGCAGTAGTCCATTTCAGATAAGAAAACATTAATTGTATTTTAATTTTGCAAGCGTTCGGTCTGTCTTATCACGTGAAAATTTCGATATACCACTCTTCTAGTGAGAAGTACGGAAGGTTAAGAAACTCTAAACAACAATTAAAAGCAACTTTTTCTTATCTGTGCGTAGATTACAGTTGACACTTAATTTTGCAGATTTTATCTGAAAAACAAAGAGCTATGCTCGACTAGCAAGGATATTAGGGCAGAGTTACTGAAATTAAGTACTGCGCACAGCTTACAAGTAGCATTTGTTAAAGTATTTTACGAAAACAAGTTGTTATTTGTCGGTTTATCTATAGCAAAAATTTTGAACAGTATGTGCCTAAAGGTAAAAACTACTTTGAACAGTCTCTTCGTTGCATTTGCATACTTGAAACGTCTACCGCGGTTTGATGAAACTCGGCCTGTTCAGAAGCCGAACCTGGGAATTTCCTATGTTTTGCAGTTTTAGCCACTCAGGCTCTAGACAAACCTACTATACCTAAACTTTATAAGCATTTATAAGTAATCAAAAACTGCAGGAATTTTCACAACCGGCATCTTATTCTGAATAAAGCTACTGAATTTCGTTTGCTGTAAAAAATAAAGTGCGGACTGTTTATTTTTTATCTTAAATTTATATTATTAAAATAAAATTTTATTAGTGAAATGAAACCTTTGTGTAATAATTTGGAGTAGAATACGAGACTCTTTTGTTTCTCCGACGATGCCATTTCAAAATCACTGAATAATTTTGCCCTCATCAAACTGCTATCAAAAGAGGCAAAAATAGATTTTTGAATTCATGAATGTGAAATCAATTGTACTATCGTACTTCGTTATCATGAACTGCAGGGGACGGGCATAAGTTCCTCGTTATGTCCTTGGTAAAGTAAATATGTACTCGAATACATTAAAATTGACTTTTTAATGCAGCTGTTTCTTGTATTCTTGCTCGTTATTTCTGATTTCATTTGAATCTCTAAATTAATGGGAATTTGAACGTTCCTTGATGAAAACTTGTGTGTGCTAGTTGAATTTTTAGAGATTAAGAATGGTATACATATCCAGTATAATCACAATTTAATAAAAACTACAAAGATTGTGCTAAATTTCAGCATGTTGTGGAAGTAGAAAAGTCTTAGTTCATTTGCTTTGCAAAAAGTTCATTTGCTTAAATATTTTTTAACGAAGCCAATGTTGGTTGTCATTGCAGTTAATTTTTAATGAATCCAGTCTGTTGTATAATGATTAAATTCTTTTTATCAAGTGTAAATATAAATGCTCCTTATGTCTAACTTTATTAAGTGTATTTATTTTCTTGTCGATATTCTTTCTTCATCTCAGAGAAGTACTCCATTCATTCAGATCTAGAAAAGTTAAACAATAAGTTTTTGTTGTACAAATAGTAAAAAAACTTTAATTAAATCTCATTTTTAAGATTTTAGTTGAAGTAAAAGATATTCGACCCTCCCAAAAAATAGAGTGCGAATATATAAATGGGATAGTTGACTACGTTTGCTAACTTACATTACGGCACGCAACAGGAGCTTCATATTTTAAGCAATAACCTACACGAAGATGATGTATCATTATAGGCTTTTCCTACTTCTCAGTCAAAGATAACTCCTCGTTCACTAAATGATGGGAATTAATATAATAATTGAGTGTTGATCACTTAAATCGTAATCCAGGCCCACATTTTTCAGTATTTCATATACGAGTAGCAAATTTCATAAAAATACATCAAAACAGAGAAAGATTCTTGAAGAATAGGAACTGATTAAAAAAGATTAATCTTTCACATTGCTATCAGAAAATATTTTTTGAAAGTAGACATAAAAATCAAAACCCTACTCTAAATATATAATTAAGTTTTCAGACTGAATAATTCAGTTTGAAGCAAGGTAGTTAAGGAAGTTGGAAGCTATTTTGTTTTGGATTTCTTTTTATGCTTCTTTCTAAAGTTGAGGGGTTTCAGTTATTAAACAAAAGTTGCCTAAGCGTTCAAGAAATAAAGGGTATAAATTTCTAAGAAATGGCTGATTTTGAGTTATACAACACCTTACATTGTATAAATTGAAAGTTAGAATGTATTGTTCATTTCTGGGAAAACTAAATAACACAGAATTCATTATAATATATCAATCTTGAAAATTTTGTGTTGCCAATGAAATTTCTCTGCTTCGAACTTTCCACAGTTAACCCCCCCTAAAGTTATTTTAAAGATATCTTGTATTTTCATACTATAAATAAACAAAAGATATGAAATGATATCTGTTAGATGGTTTTAATACTTATAACTCTTATTCATTATTAAAATATATACTTGTATGCATGCATTCAGAAGCCGTCAGTATTTTGCCCTTGTCTCAAGAGACTGAAGATTTGCCTTTTACACGAAAACGTGGATACGCTTTAATGCCTTATGAGAGACAATTTGGTGGAGAATATTTTAAAGGAAACTGGCTATTATTTACAAAAGGAATTCAAAAAAGATTATTCTTGCAAAATGACTTTAGTCCTGATACATAAAACAAAAGAGAAACTTTTTAATTAGTGTTCTGTGTAACTTCCCACAGTTAACGAGCTGCGTACGAACGATATTCGAATTTATCTCATAATCACTCAAGTATATCCTTTGTCACCGACTTCCAAGTAGTAACAAGGCAATTTTTTGGCTCATCCAGTGCTTTGCCTCAACATTCATCTGCGCACATGTCAGGATTTCCCACAACTCTGGTTTAAGCTCAAAAATCGTCTTGTTGTTGGTGGTGTGAAAGGACTCGCTTGAGTGGTTACGAATGATTTCAAATATCATCTCGAGGCTACTCGTGTAATTATGAGAAGTCACAAAGACCACTTAAAGTGAGAGACAAAATAGGACAGTTTCACTTTTATTTGAAGTCTCCTTATCAGTCTGTGTTCAGGAACTTCAAAACTGTGGTCATTTTTGAACTGAATGAATCATTTAGAATTACTTTGTAAAATAAGAGTGAAATAATGAATAAGTGACGCAAATATTTCTTTCGGCATGAAGTTAGGTAATAAGAAATATTTATTTATTTGCTTGCTTCTTTTGGATTATCGAATCCCCTTTAAGAATTGACATTTTCTAGAGTTAAATTTAAACGTCCTGCTTGAAGTCGTCAAATAATTTCAATGTAAGATTTTGAAAGTACGGCTCATTTGAGATTAGATTATATTAATAAAGTCAAGGAACACTGAAATTAATTATAATTGAATTACGTACTTGTAATATGTGGTTTTTGTTACCTTTTCTCAAAAATACATCTTTATTTTTATAGGAAATATATCACTGGAAGATAATAACTGAGCATTTTCAAGGTAAAAATTGCATTTCTCTTTTTTATTAAAATGTTACATAATTGTTTTTTTGTTTAATTCATTAGTATGGAATATGTTTTCATTTAAATTGCACCCTGCCTAGGTAATTATTATTTTTATATTAGCAACTTTATTACCCATGTGATGGATGAATATCAGACAATTTCTCGTACAATATTTTCCGTAAAAACATCTCTTCTAAAGCAGATAACCCTAGCTTGCTTTTTTTTTGTATTCAATTAACCAACCATACAAAGACAGACTGCTTTGTATTTATGTCACACTTTCTAAAAACACGAGATATACAATACATTAGCATGAATGGAGAAATTAATTTTTCATTTCTCGTGCAACTTTTCATTTAAAGTGTTTTGAATTAATTTTTCTCTATATTTTTAGGTATAAATTCAGTTTGTAGCCCATTTACTAACTTTTAGATTACTGTAGAGAGAAAAATGCTTTAGTAATTTCCCCCACCAAGTATTACGTGCTGCCCTTCTGTCCTATTTACTTGTATTTTAATTTATTAAAATCTGTTGCCTAATATGTTCTATCTTAATCACATTCGGCATATTTAAGTCACCATCTTAATTACTTCTGGCACACAATAACTGGAATATATAATTTTATTAATACACCCAAACGACAAGGCAAAAATAGACAAAATATTGCCTAATTCAAATAAAAAATGTCTGAAGCAGATGAATCCGATTAGTTGGGTTGAAAGGCATTATGCATTCATTATGTTTTTGGATGTTCTTATACCAATGGCAGAAACTTGGGATAATATAGTTACCCAGTTTCAAGTTATAGTTCCCAAATTTCACAACTAACTGATAGCTTAGAAAATAGTATTACGTTTAGTATGATTTTTCTAGTAATTATTATACTGAAAAATAATCAAAAATATCTCAAAGTTTACCTTCATTTAGAACGAAGTTCATAGTTTCAGTATCAGTTCACTATTACTTAACTGAATGGGTCAAACAAAAATGTGAAGTACAGTTTTATTTGTAAATATATATTCCTTTTTAATTACACATTTAAAATGCACTCTGTGTAAAGAGTACTGCTGTGTTATATAGTATATTTAAGTGTATACTGCATGTTTAAGTGTATTATATGTAACCTATTGTGTATATTTAAGAGTACTGTACTTAACTGTACTATGTGCTCTTATTGTAAATACTAAATTTTTTTGGTGAAATTTTCTGAACAACTAGTAACTTTTTTGTGTTCCAATCTTTTAGGCATGTTTAAATTGCTGGTACTAATTAATTTATGTGATCGAAATCGTCGATTCTTGCTAGATGTAATAAATGTATACGATTTGTATCCAATGATAGCTTTCTTTAAATTTCGTCTATCAGAAGGAATATACATAATTCCTTTTCCAAGCAAATATTTCGGACATGATTATGTGAATGTTGACATTTACCAGAGAATGTCGACTTTCTTCAGATTTTGGTCTTTCACGCTAACATATGCATTTTATTTTCTTTCCGTTTTCGTTTAAAATTAAAGTTATCAGCAGTTTAAGGTTATATTCATAAATTTTTATTGTAATAGACATAGTTGGTTCCATTTATATTGGCTTTCAAATAAATCCCCTTCATCTTATTAAGTATCTATGTAAATAATTTGTTATTTTAGTAACATTTTGTTGACATGTAATTTCTTATTTCAGAACTTACCTCTGACGTCACCTGGAAACTCATATCGAATGTATTGCATAATTTTGCGAATTCCATCCTAATTGTCATTTGTTTTGCCTCATCTCTCAAGGCCGGTTTGATTGTCACCTTTGCAATTCTGTCTCAAGAGCTATCTCATGAAACAGGTAACGAGGTCTTTATTTAATTTAAAATTACTTCTGAATGAATAAGAAAGCGAAATGTGAAGACTCTTTTAAAATAAATATCTTCTACAACTTTAGATTAAACAAATACCTTTTAAAATTTTTCATTCCTATTTAATTTTATAAAATCCGAATTTAAATCTTAAAATATCTTAAAAATTCATATATGTGAGATAATTCCCTGACGCTTGGATAGCCAATTAATTACAATTACTTTCAAAAATAAATATAATAGCCATATAGAGAAATACTTAAAATTAATAATAATAAATAATTAAGATTAAAAAATAAAAATAAATAAAACTCATATAACATGAACATTTTTTACATAAAAATAGGCCAAACTTAAACTTTTTAAACTTTACTTACATTTTACCCTAAACAACGGAAATTTCAAAACGACGCTATCACAGCAACAAGCATGAGATGCAAAACATTTCGTGCTTGTTGCTCTGATAACGCCACAACGCTTTGTGATCCACCATAATGCCTTTCACATAACGCTAGTAACGTAAATGGAACTAAAAATCAAACAGCCAATAATAATTTTACAGCATTATTAACTATCCAGTCAAATCCACTGAAACCGAAATTAACTGATTCTGAATTAAGATTTCATCCTGAACGCAAGGCTTCTGCTTTCTACCTCTGGCAGGCAAAGACCGCTGCTTGCTGCTTTCTCTTCTTTTGCAAAACAATATTAAAATTTTAACTATTCTGCAACATGCATGATTAATATGCCAAGTATTTACGGCCTCAAAACATTTAGCTACAATAAAAGAAATATAATTTAAATCTGCTACAACTGCTTCTTACTGCATCTATACGACTTCTAAGTTTATTCTTCATTATGGGCCCTCTATGTGTGCTTCATAACCGATTTACGTAATTTTCTACATATTGTTATTAGATATAAGTCTACAACAATATTTCATATATATATATATATATATATATATATATATACAAAATGTCTCAAAAACTGTGTGTATATAAACTATCTCTTGATGGGTTGGTCTAAAACCCATGATTTCACTGTATGGAAGGAATTAGACAAAGGGTTTTCAGTCTACAGCAATTTTGGTCATGTCACGTTTTTGGTTAAAAATATAATAAAATTAAATAGGACCTTCGTAGAAAAAAGTATCATTAAAAATCTGTCTCACAACCGAATAAGGCAAAAGCATCTTCCTGTGATTAAAATTATCCGGCGTATTTTTAATCAAAATTATGATTGAAACATACGACTATGCGTTTAAGTTTTTGAATGAAAATTTCTGAAACGTAACATTTATATTAGGCCATGATAAATATGTAAGAAGCAAAAAGTTTTTGCTGCTGAATAAAAAACTCACTTCAACTCGTATCTCAAAATTAATTTCAAATTTCATTGTTTATTTTTCAAGGTGAATGTGAAGTCAATGTGGAATACAGGATTTCTAATATTAATTTTTTAAAGGAGATATAAAAGTTAAAAGTGTTTTTACAGAAATTAATGCAAAGCAAAATCCCATTTTAATACAAAAGATTTTAATACACTTACAAATTAATTGCCAAGTGTCTTTGCTTCTTACTAAGAAGGTTAAAATATCTTAGGCATCACCAGAAATATTACGACGTACGTATAACACAGCAAATGCATTTACCTCAAGCTTGTATCATTCTATTTCGCAAGGAAGAGAGAAAAATGTTCTTTCATTTGATGCCGGTAGATATAGAAAGTATTACTAAGATTTTTAGAAGTTTTTTTACTGTTGGAAATTGTTCAGGATTGCGCTTATGCAGAGTTTCCACAAGAGATTCTAGTGAGTCTTATAAACTGGCTACTTATCTGTACCACAGTTCAAACTCCCACAATGCTACAAGTTCACTGCAACGGACATGTTCCTAATGTTTTATACTAAATGTTGCATCTATTTGCGCTGTTTGGAATTCATTTGAGAGTGGGTACCATCTGGAAGCAGGTATGTGAATCTTTCTAAGAAGCGTTTTGTCTTTCAGCAGCCATTCATTAATTTCATTCATGAAAAAGTCAAGGAATGGCAAAAAGACAGCAATTCGAAAGTATTCTTCTGTACTGGTAGGCTTTACGTTGCATCGCTGACTTTGTCTTTTGGTCATTCTAGGCATAATGATTTCACCACAAAGCTTTTACCCTGCTATAAACACATGTCTGAATGTTTCCACATCATTACTTCTTATCTCACTCAGAACAGCCACAACCTATTAAGTAAATTGCAAAGCTGAGGCTAAGTCTGTATCTCCTTTCTGCAAAACTTTACTCAAAGGGAGACTTATTGATAATTGCCTGAACAGAACATATAAGGCTACAATAAACTCAGATCTTCTAATAGCGCATCCCAGATGCCTAGCCATAATAGCGATTTCTCTTTCTTTCCATTGAATTATAATATCTAAAGTTTCTACCACCGGTATAAGAAGATCCAAAACATAATGAATGCATCATACCTTTCAACCCAAAGAGTCGGATTCATTCTGCTTCAGATATTTTTTTTATTTGAATTAACCAATATTTTATCGATTTTTGCTGTCAGAGCGTCTTTTGGGTGTATTTGTCTTCTGAGTCTATTAAGAAAGTTATATATTCCAGTTATTGTGATAATATAGATCTGAATTACTTTCTCAGATAATGCGAGATTAAAACTGAGGACACTACGGTGTACATCTACAGTGTACTGCTTATAAATTCAGGTCTGTTCACCTTTATAGAAACTCCTCATATCGCTTGTCCTATCATAGCCTTGTCCTCTTAGGTAAACCGAGTTTACTCCCATACTGTTCAGGCTATCTAAGACAAGAGCAGCTATATTTTCTCTTGTGTAATCATGGGTGAAGAAAAATGTTTACTAACTAAATGGATAAGGACAGGAGAAAATATAAAAAGTTAGATTTCCTATTTTGTACAAACTTAATTTTTTAAAATTTAAAAATACGAAAACATGAATCTTTGAGTCATTTAAAAAGTTTTGTAATTGAAAATATATGTTTATGGCCAATGGTTGTGAAAATAAAGACTGGGTAAGGAATTTCGAGGAGACCTTGCACACTGGTAATTACAAACATAATAAGCAAGCATACATGTCAAAAATGCATCTATATTATATATTATATAATGCAACATATTATATACATAGATAAACATCAAGTGTATTTCTTTAAATTTATACGCAAATGATTTAACCTTCATTAAATTTTAATATATGAATATTTAATGTTGGGGTTTTATTGGTTTACTTAATTGAAATAACTAAGCAATGAGATCCCCAAAACATGATTTATCCTGTACCTGATTATTTACCATAAGTTTTTTTAAAAGTATGGAACTTGCTGTTGCGCTTATTTCTAGCTGATGCTACCTTTTTCTTAACTTATTGCTTCCAGACTTACATTGCCCTATTTTCATATCATCTGCTCTATATTGTATTCATTTTTTCTCTTCATTCAAATTTGTATAACAAGTTAACATAAGACATGTTTTGTTTAAACACTTTTTGCGTTCCTTCTTATAAATTTTCAACTGCGAGTTTTATAATTTTACACTATTTCTTTTCTTTTCTTTAAAATATTTCATGATTTGTCTGTTCAAAACTGTTCCCTTTTTCAAACTCTGATTACTCGATCTGGGAATTAGTAATTTTTCAAAATAAAGATTTAAAAGCAGTTTAATTATTAGGTAAAGGCATAAAATTTTTAATTGGTGTACTTCTATTTCAGTGGGCTTGATTATATTATGGAATCTTAAAGTGCCTTTCCTCGAACCAGCAGAGATAATCATCACTTCAGCTATAATAAATATTTTATGCATTAGCTGTGGAGTTGTATTTGGTTCTTTTGCTAGAAAAACTGCATTGTTTGTCACAAGTGGAATTTTTCTCTATAGTATGATGAGTGACATGGTAAGGCATTCCATAATTTAATTTTATTCAATTTTTTAATTCTTTAAAGTTTTTATTCTGGATTGTAAGATAAAAGCAGGTTTACTGCTTAAGTTTTTATTCCGCATTTCAGCTAAAATCCTAAATGACTACTGATAATTTTATATTAGTTTATTTTGATAATTTCTTTTTTAATTATGGTCATCAAACCATTTCAAATTTTATGTCCTCTTTTATGATTTTGATACTGTTGCCGTGTTGTAATAACGAGCAGTGGAATTCAATTATTTTATTAGCATTGGTTCGAAAATTCTTGAATGTCTGTTTCAAAGTTTGATTATTTTATTGCATCGGACAAAATACTTGATGTGTGCATCGATTTGTTTTGTAACTTACGTAACTTGATTTTAAAGTATTTCTTCCTAATTGATTAATATATCTGAAAGCCAATGTAATATAAATACTAAGAATATTATCATATTTAACGTAGCCCAAACTTCAAGAAAAAGGTTTCACATATCCCCAAACTGCAAAGTTATTTCTTACAAAATTAAATTTAACTTAGTACACCATTCTTTAAAACTGGATTTGTAAGATTACGTTCAATATTAATTTTAATTTAAAAGATTAGGAACTTATGAAAGGATTTTCTTTAATTTTGCGAAATGAATCAAAAATTCTCACGAGTGAACAGTGTTACTGCAGAATACCTCTTTTCTTCTTACTTGTACTTACTCTGTCAGGTGATTTATAAAGTGTTGATCAAGTCTTGCCGAATTGCACTCCACGCTTCTAAACGCGCATTTGTTCAGCTCCTGGAGGGTCCGGGGAGGAATTTAAAGCGCTGAAATTCGATTTCCTAAGGCATCCCACACAGCTCAATCGGGTTTATGTCGCGTGAGTAAGCTGGCCAATCTATTCAAGTGATATCTTCTGTTAGGAAGTATTCTGACACCACATATGCTGGATGAGGTCGAGCAATGCAATCCATTAGCAAAACCTCTGGGCCAACAGCGCCCCTAAACTTGGAGTTCCAATAACTCGTCCACATATCTTCCAGCAGTTACAGAACTTCCTTGAAAAATGTGTAGCTCGGTGAGGTCATTTGCTATGATTTCTCCCCAAACCGTTATTAAATCGCGGTCGGGGAAACGGGATATTTCACGACAAGGGAAAGAAAGTTTCCAAACCTCTTGTAGTCGCATTGCGGTTTCTTTGAGTTGACAACGTCAGAAAACAGTCTTATGATTGTAGTTGTTGCTCTTGGTCGCTCTTGATCAGGCTGTCTGTCAACTTATTCAGTGCTTAGAAAGCGACTGCGCATTCTTGATATGACACTTTGAGGGGTATTCAGATCTTGACTGACCACAATTTGTGTTTGACTTTCCTCGATTCGTTCTTTTTTATGTTTATTTAAATAATGCCTTTGAGTCATAACTACGGAATACTGATACCCCTCAGAAACCACATTCACTTTATACAACACTATAGATCGGAATTTTAACATGTGTACACTGCGCACCTCATTGTCAATCACCGAATTTGCATATTTACGGAGCTGGCGTATGCGCGAAAGTGCAAATTTGTGTTCAATAGTATTTAATTAACATAAATAATTACAGGACGGTACATTGGTTGCAACATTAGCTTAGTGGCCATATTTTTTTTAAAATTTTCCTTTAATTTTGAAGACCAGTATATATTATGTATAATCAATAAAATTTTTCAGAAGATTTTATGCAAATTATTGCGGCTTAGAAATTTTTCCGCAGTTTTCTAATATGTATTTCAATATGTACGTTTATATTTCAGTATGTACAGATATTTGCTTAAATAACTTATTACTTATATCAAACGTTTTTTAGAGGGTTAAATCTATTATTTGTACCTTTTACATTTGTGTTTTCAGCTTCTTGAAATGAAAATGAATCCGAGAAAAAAGTATCTTCTGTTCACTGCCAAGAATATTATTATTTTATGCGGAATCTTATTTATGGTATGCATTTTAGAGGTGGAAATCAATGCGTAACTATGCCTACATAAGAAGTGAGTTAGCATTCTTAGGCTAAATATTCCCAACATTTAGTAGATAATTGATATATGTGTTTATACTGTCATACCTCACTTTACGAACTTCAATTTACAAACCATGGAATTATGAATTAAACTTTTAAAAATAAAATCTATATTAAAAAGATTTAAATTATCTAAATTTTTGTACCCCAAGCAAAAGCGATGGCCTGGTAGCATTACTTTTGCTATAGCAGAGCCATCTGTGAGGCAAAATTCGAATTAATCCTAATACCTTACTTTAGGACCGCCTGTTTTACGACTTACTCCTGGAACGGAAATGTGAGGTAATGTTCGTACGGTTCGTAAATGTGAGGTATTTCTTGTTGAATGGAAAGTGTAATCTACTCAAATGAGCAAAAGCTTTAAATCTTAATATAGTCGCCGCATATAATATACTAATCAAATGTTATTTTGCATACGTGTGGAATATATTTCTTTCTTTGTTTACTATATGTATATTATATGTATTTTGTTATATACTTATGCATTTTATTATACTACATCCTTCCTTATTGAAACGTCAGAAGCATTGTTATTCGACGTATTATAAGATTTAACTCCGTTAATGCACATAAATATTTTGAGTAATAAAAAAAGTATTCTATTAAAAATAATCTCCTCGTAAATTTTTAATTTTTATTTATACTTATTTATTTATACTTATTTATTTTTGCACGTAAAATAGAAAAGGCAATTAAAAATCTGGCCTTCGTTTGGGACGCGAACCCTAGGCCTCCCATCTGTATGGGATAGGTATCATTCCGATCTCATTTACCGTCCGTCATTTTATTGAATATTGCTGATGATAATGAAGTAGCGCCTTCTCAAAGAAATTCCTGTTTGATACGTTTCTGCTTAAAATTTTTATTCCGCATTCATGATTTTTACAACTTGCCCTTTTTAAACTCAGTTTTAAACTCAGTTTTTTAGAAAAGCCCTGAAAAATCTCTTAAGAGGGTTTGATTCCTTATTATATAAAAGCTCAATAAATAATAAAACTATAATTGATTTCTTATAGATTAAATTTCGAATCTGCTAGTTGGCATAGAATTTGAAAGGGGTTAAAATTTTTCTCTCGTAACAAACATCTCAGCCACAGATGGTTCATTCAAACAATATTCCAGAGGGAAATTTTTCATCATTTGAGAAAATGTTTAAATATTCGATACTATACATTTTCTTCTTACTTAATTTATAGCATGTCCCCCCTTCTTGTATTTTAAGCATATACAGGGGGTTTCAAAAAGAAAGAGCAGAGTACAATTTTGTATCTTACAATATGTAGGATACAAAACATACGATGGAAATTTATTAAAAAATTAACTTAATTGGAACAAATTGAAACTAGACTTACTAATTTTTAATGAAAGTATAACCCCTTCAAGGCATCGACGTATTTTCTGCAATAACCGCAGTGCGGAATCTTTTCGCCCTATCACTGCTCAGGATTAAAACAAAAACTCTCCCCAAGTTTATAAATAGTAATCTCAACTACACGCGTTCTCTCTCACCGCTTCGCCTTTTTGCTGGCAACGTGTCGCTTAGCCTCTGTTAGCTATTGTCCCTTATGTTAAATGTAAACTGCGTATTTAAAAGTGTGGGGTGCGCTTACCCCTAGTGTTATACCAATTAAGAAGATATGTACTAAGAAATTCGTCATTCAAAAATAAATCATGTTTAACTACTAAGCTGGTCGTGCTTCTTCCAAAATTCCAACCAGTCATTCACACGCAGCAGCTTTCTCCGCCATCACTAAAAAATGAATTGGTTCATTCCCTAATCAAGCTATTCTAATATTAAGTATCTGCAGCGAAATAAATCATCATATCTTCAGAAAAGTGTACTTTTGCTCAATTGGTAAACATTAGCGCCCCACAATTTTGTACATTTCAAAACAATGGAAGAATGCAGTTAAGTGAAGAGACGTCGTTTACCAAGCAAATTTAGACAACAAAAGAGAGTGCACCGTTTGATTGCAGCGGTATTTGCAGTAAAATTTTCCGTTAATCTGGCTGGACAAGAAGTATATGCAATGCAGAACGTTAAGGTGACATAATGTAGAACTAGTTTTCAGATATGAGGCAGTTTCGAAAACGTTATTACTATTTTTAGAATAGAGGAGTGCCCAGATTAAAAAGAGGAATTAAAGGACTGTTGCTAATTTAAAGTATAATTCAATGTTAAATATATTTTATCTTGCATATTAAAGTATAATTCAGAGTTACACGCAACCTTAGTCTTCTAAATTCGTAAACAGTATAACGCTAAAAATTATATCATGATCTACTTTGCATAGTTAAATGCCTTATTTGTTAGTTAAATATACAGGTTTTAGAAAATATTCTAAAAAGTTTTATAAATTGTTAGAATATTTTATAATAATTATGTTACATTTTACAGACACTATTTAAGAAACTCATCTGTCTTCCCTATTTCTAGCAAACTATAGAGTTCGCATTTGTTCATTTTAAATTAATTTAGAATTATTTATGGTACTTTTTATAGCGAATTTTGCACGAAGGAAGGTTTCCGTTAAAAAAGCTTGTTTATTTAAAATATCGTGAAGTATTTAATTACCTTTACGTGAAACAAAGTAGATACTGATTATCAAAGATATATAAGCTCCAGCTGCACAACTGAAATCAAGCTTTTAGCGTTTGAACTTCGGTTTTCGTTTGAATGTATGCGAAATGTAAAATTTGCGAGAGACGAAATACTTCTTTAACAAATCTGTGTTAGTTGATTGATTTAGTTAAAGTAAAGTATGTAAGTGCTGTGTGTCAAGGAAGAGCTCCATTTGTGGAGGATTGTTTAGGAAAACAGTTTTGTATTTATGTTATTTATTTTTTAAAATGCTCATGCAGCTAGCCCTTTTGGCGGAAAATAAATCTAAAAAAAAAAAAAACATAGGTGATAAAGCAGCAGGTTATCTTGTAGCAAGAATTAAAACAGCAGCTTTTATTTCTAAAAAATTTAATTAAAGTTTCAATACTTTGTTTATCTTAAATTCTTGTCAATGGATACAGTTGTAGACATTGAAATGCAGTGATATGTGTATAGGCTGTTTTGATTTGGTTTAGTTGATTATGGTAAAGCACCCTAGAGCTATCTGCCTGAGGGGAGGGATGGTTTCGTGGAACGACTTCCTAAAGTAAGCTGACTTGTATACATTTGTACATGGAACTACCAGCGTTCAGCGATTTTACCGCTCGGCCGCTAGGGGGGATATATGCTTAGGTATTCAAGCATATATTTAGAAAAGCTTAATTATACTTTAAAATAAAGTGGAGAGTTGTTTGATCAAGATTTTTTTTTTTTTTTTTTTTTTTTTTTTTTTTTTTTGTGTGTGTGTGTGTGTGTGTGTGCTATTTAGCATTTCATGTTTTCACGCATTGTGGATGAACAGGAACGAGTAAAGATCTTAGCTATACAGCAGAATCATCCAGACTTCTAATAATTCTGCTTTTATGTATCTCAACTTCAAAAAAATTTCATTTATTGTGAGAAGTGTAAAAGTTGGATAATTTCATCATTTGCTTTGTTGTAATTAATATTCTAATGGCACTGAAAAACTTAATCAAACAATTAAATGCATTACAGAGATAAGGAAAATATCGAGAATGGGGGCTCAAAAGGAAAAGAAATTACTGAGAAAAATAAACAGCCAATACATTCTGGAATTTTCTGCTTAACTTGAAAGTAAAACAGAGAATTACGAATTACAGCTGTATGCCTGCATATATAAATGTGCCTGATTTGAAACATTCCGACCATCATGAAATTCAAAGTGAAATCTTATCCTCCAGTACCAAACAGCCTGATTGGAAAGCAATTTTTCCTCAGACTTAGCTTTATATATGCAATGCGAATGAAAGTACATGACATGAAGTAAATTATCAAATAAGAATAATGAAAAATACATTTTTACAAAGCGGAAAAAACAGCAAGAAATCTCTGATAAAGGATGTCTTGCGGTTAAAATTGCTAAGCAAATATTATAATTTCGATTAATTATTCAAATTGTGCAAACTAGATTCGAAATACATATTTCTGAAAATTTAAAATAGAATGCATCAACTGAAGACAGACGATCCGTTGGTGTGAGAAAGCTGGGGACCAGAAAAAAATTGCTGTTTTCGTGTTCAAAGGTGATGCTTTAACACCTTGGTTCTCCAACCTTTTCAAATACACTTTTATTCAATTTAAAAATGCTTCTAAAAGGGAGCATATGTTACTCAACTGAGATTTCTTTCTTGCATTATATATCACATTTAATGCAAAATGTATCCTGCCGTTTTATTTCCGCGTTTGTCAGTCGCTTAAAATATTGTTGCAAATACTCCTTCGCATGTTGCCTCTCAGGGAACGTTATCGGAAAGGTACTATTCGTAAAATTCCACCAGGTGCCTGTATTTTGTCTTGTTCTATAGCAGGGATGGCCAAAGCAAGGCTCTCATGCAAATAAAATGTATGCTTGAAACAAATCTCTACTTAATGGCTAAAAGAAAGTAATTTTTTCTTCTATTTTCGCGAAGTAACCTTCAACTGATCAACGTCGAAACGTAATTATTTTATTTAATTTCTTGTTAGTTAAAAAATTTAATAATGTTACCCTAAAACATAAAAATATTGTGTTGTTTCTATCGAATAATTTTGTAAAAAAAACTTTAAAAGCTAGAATTGCTTGTAGATGCTTTACGAATGAGTGCTTCGATGCTTGTGGTTGCTTTATAGGAAGAGTCTACCGTATTTCTGAATTATCAGTAGCGGTAGAAATTAAATGGCAGTGGCTTTTGAGTAGAACAAAAAACGGATATAACGAAACAGAAACGTTTAATATCACACGGAATCTAATACAAGTTTAAAATAATTTAGAATTTGATTCGATGGGCGAATTGATGAGAAAGTTATGGCAAATGAAAGCTTTAGGATTTCTAATAAATCTGATGACAGTCACAACTTAGAAGACTAAACACTTAGAAAATTTCAAGAATCCGTAAACTTTGAGGACAATTTGGAATGAGCATGAAGGGGAATTAAGAGATAATTTTGCTGTAGCCGAAAAAGATTTGAGTCACTGTTGTGCATATTTAAGAAGAATGCAAAGTTTCATGAGTATTACGAAGCTGTGATAGATCAACATTTACAAGAAGTTATCGCCGAAGAATCGCAGTGTTTAAAAATTGAAAAAGAGTATTTTTCATCTCATCAAGCTTTAATTAGAGAAAACAAAGACGCCATAAAACTTTGCGCTGTCTTCCACACGTCATCATATGCTGAAGGCAAACTATCATTTGATGATTGTTTAGAAACAGACTTTTTTCCATTTGAAACCTGTTTACAGCATTTACAATGATAGAAATACGGATTTGTGGCTTTTGGAAAATCTAGCTGCAGCTTTCGAACTATCCTGATTTCCAACATGTGGCTGTTACTGACATGAAGTTTCATTCCCTCTGTTTTATAGTCTTATCGCCTTCTGTTTTCATAGAGTGAAGCACTGTTTTAATGTGAAAGTTTTTTCCTGCCGTTTTATTAACTGAAGGCTACATCAGAAATTTTACATTTTGGTTTTTACTTAATTTTCTACTTTTTAAACTAACAATTTAGAGTTTTTTTTATTAATTTATTTTATGTAGTGTTATAAAAATAAAGGCCTAGAGAGAATCCGTCGTTCTCTCTAGCTGCATAGAATTGCTAGGAATACACGGATTTCTCACTAGGCTGTAGAATTCTACGAGAAAGAAAATCGGATTCAGCAGAAGTCAAGATACATAACTGATAGACTTGGAACTGAATCTTATGAGTCCTCAAGGGCAATGGTATGAAGAAAATGGACAAGAGCGAATTAAATGTATGATACATAAGGAATGAATATCACCATTACCCATTTATGAGAAATTTAGTACTCGAAGGCTTTCATTTTTATAACTGCGTATTGTTATGTAGGTTTTCAGAGAGGCGCATTTCTTTCGTAAGTATCTAAATATTTGTGAATTTAGATACATTATGTACAGACATATATGTTGCGTCCTTTGCCGCAATAAGTTAATAAATTAACCTTTTCTTCGATGATCTGCATTACTTAAAATGCATAAAAAATGCATCAAGAAATAGATTTACTAAAATAACTATTAAGATCGCAGAGAAAATATTTTGATTATCCCAAATCTCCGCGATATGCAAATGTCTATCATGTGAACAAAGTCCTGCCCATCATCAATATTTCAGATAGCATTTTTAGTACGATATATATGCTTGAATCTGCTGTATTTGGACAGCTGCAGTTCACTACGATGAATGGATTTTATTTTGGAATCGCGGATCTGATCCTAATGATCTCAGTGAAATTATCAATTTGTGTTAATTCGATGAACTGTGGAATTTTCTATAGGTAAAATTGCATACAGCAGGGGAATTATGCCATATTCAGGGCAATAAATTTGACGTCAAAAGTATTTCCAGTCTTAAGTAACTCACTCTCGCTCTTTCTCTATACTTTTTAGAAAAACAAATAAAAAATCATTTTAAATGATTCAGTAATAATTTTTATCGTGTCTTTTAAGACTGATTTTTCGCACAAATGAGAAACTACTAATATATAATTCCTATGAATCCTTTTATTTTTATTACAACAGTTAACCCCCGTTATAAGCAGTATGAACTTCATAAGCATTTTCACATTCTGCAGTCGGCTCTGTTAGAATAAGGAAACACAAGTATGAAAGCCATTATTAGACTGGCAAGAGAAACGTAGCCTGGAAGATGTATATTATCTTAACAACTCTAATTAGATGAAGCAAATACTGTACTACTGCATAACTGATTGCCTACAGGGCAATGATTTCTTTTATATCCTTTTGAAAGTTTTTTGAATATCAAATCATTTCATTGTAGAGAACATGTGATTTATTTCCTAATATGTGACCCTAACAATCAATGTATATTTAATAAGTTATTTTTTCTAAGATAGTGAATTATCTGACCTGAAACTATTTTTAAAATGTGATGGGTATTAAAACCAAGCTTCCCATCCGGTGAAAATTTGCCTTTGTGCTTACTTCGTACTAGTTTTCATTTCAGAATGAATATTAAATTTCTGTTCCTTCTGTGTCTGTTCCGGGCTTGTGGAGGATTCCCAAATATTTCTATACAGTCACGATGTTCAGGAAAGATTCACCTCGGAGAAGAATCCAGAAAAGCATTTTACCAAAAATAAATATTTATGATATTGATATGCTAAATCAGAGTATTTTCAGATATGAGAAGCCTGTTGTTTATGATCTTTGTCTAGGCTCTTCCTGTTTCTCTACTGCGCTTGGTAGTTCTTAATTTTGTTTCTTTTTTAACTGATCTGATCATCTTGCTTCGGGTGAAATATGACCATCATATAGCTGCATTTGCTCTCCGCATACCATAAAAATTTACATAACTCTGAAGTGACTGAAGCGATTCAGAAAAGAAAAAAATGGAAAGATCTAGTAGCTGAGAATTTATCCTGATTAAATTTAAAAGCGAAAAAACTCCAAGATATCAAAGATCTAAATGTAATTACTTCGTGATTAATTTTAAAATAATCTTTCTCCTCAAACTCAGACCATGATTTTCGTCATCATTTCGACCATGTTTTCTAATAATTTTCAGTCTCGTCCTTTTTATCCTGAAACTCCGGAAAGAAATTCCTCTTGAATGTAAATATTTACTCATTTTCATAATTTCAAGGTAACGATAATACTGTTGTTTTATGAAAATATGTGTTTGTATTTTTTGCATATTTATTTGTTTTCCTTTTTTCTTTATTAAATAGCTTTACTTATTTTCGATTACTGTATATCTGTTTTATTTATTTCGAACGACTGCATATTTGCTTTGGTTGTTTTTCATATATAATTAATATGAATATAT